ACCAACACTAGCACTGTCTTCTCTGTCGACGAATACCGAATGTTTCCTCATAAGGAAACGGCAATATTACAATTGCTGCTAGTGATGGGGAGAACAGATACTACACTTTGATCCCATCGGCCTGATGAGCAGGGAGTGAAGAAATGTTAACTTGCTGCTCGGTCAATAAATGCTGAATCTTTTCTGATAAAAGAAACGACAATTTTACCATTATTGCTCCAGATGATAGGAACAGATACTCCAATTTGATGCATTACTCGTTGGCCAGGGAGTGAAGAAATGCGTAACTCGAATAGCACTATATGCTCAGTCAATGAATGCTGTATATTTCCTTATGAGGAAACGTCTAATATCATCATTACTATTTACATGTATACATTAGATGTCTAGAGGATGTTTATGTGGACTAAGTGACATCTGAGCTTCCTCAAATGCCCAGAATTTTCCTCGGTGTTATCGTCGAACCCAGCATTGCGAAATCTTCAATTTATATGATTATTCCCAATTTTCTATTTTTTTTTATTTCATTCTCGAAGGCACCTGTAATTGGTATGTGTTTGTGTTCTTGATTTTGGCACGAAAAATGTCCAAGATAGCTAAGACTCTCTCTCCCTCTTCTAGAAGGCAGAATGGGAGACAGAAGGTAGGGAGATGATTGTTAGGATCGTATTGTCTATACGAATGTCAACATCAAGAGGGGGCGGTTGGCGGCCTCGTAAGGTCGATGGGGTCAGTGATGTTTGCCAACACTATTACAAGCGTCACGCTTCGGTGAACACGGAGATTTCTGGTCTGGACAAATGGAAATGAATCGGGAAAGCCAGTTGAGTGCACACGCACATACACACACACACGCACACCCACGCATACACACACGTGCATATATGTTCGCATATGTGCACGCAACCACATGGGAACACGCACATATACGAAAAGACGCACATATAAACACTTATACACACATATGGAAAAATACACACACACATATACTCACGTAGAAATACACACGAGCACAAACATTTAAAGCGCAAATATAGATATATAGACTCACACACTCGTGCGTATACACATTCATAAATATAACTGAAACAAAAATATACCTATATTGGCATATGTAAATATAAACATATATAGGCATTTGCGAATATATACTCATAAAGGAATATGTAAATGAGCATTAATATATATATATATATATATATATATGTAATTATTTATTTAAAAATATGATTCCAACTCGCGACATAAGAGGTCTCATGTTTCAAAACAAGAGCCAAAAACTTCAATATAATTATTTGAATTAAATTGAGTTAAAGTAAGCTCTGTTCTATCTTCAAGCGAAATTTTTTTTTGGAATAACGTATTTCTGAAATTTACGTGTTTTAATAATTTAAATCAAAATTTCCATGGTAACAGCTAGGGCGAATTGTTTAAATTGGATAGGCGTGTGTTGGGCATTAATAATAAGTATCAGTATAGAGTTACTTTCATAGATGTCAAGTCAGGGAAAGGTGGGGGTGTCTAAATTTGAAACGGAAGATGTATTAACCCTAGTCTGGTATGCGTGTCTATGGAGTTTTTTTTTTTTTATGAAAGGGATTTGTGCATATAAAAAAAACTGCCGTAACGTTTGTTTTTTGACGACTTCATAAAAGGTTATCTTTTTTGTAGGGTATTTAAACTATTTATTTGGGCTATGGATTATGAAAGTTATTATATTGTATGCTTGTTCTTAGCTAATTATTCAAACCATGAATCTGATGATTGGGTTATGGATTAATCAAGTTATTATATTGTATGCTTGTTTTTAGCTAATTATTCAGACCATGAATCATATATATATATATATATATATATATATATATATATATATATATTTTTAAAATTAGGATATATATATAATCCCGACGAAGTTTTAAATTTTAGACAATTAGAAAATGTTCATACAAATAAACAGCTAATATACTTTCATAGACATTTTCCAATTGCCTAAAATTTCAATATATATATATATATATATATATATATATATCCGTCGGTCTCGAGAGACCTTCAATCTGCGTTCAAAGAGTTATGCCTCAGCTCCTAATGTTGACGTAGAATCTGTTATGGTTTTACAGTCCCACCCGGGAGTGGCAGTCTCGATTGCAACGAATGCATGTGAAGACGCTCTGTCCCAGTGACGGCGTATTTTCTTTCCGTCGAGCAAGCTTCTCCCCGACGACAATCCTTCGTTTCTCCTCTCCTCGCTCCAAGCCTCAGCTGAAATCGCGTCTCCAGCGTGAACGATCCTTGGCGTCGTCTTTACACCTCCCCATGTCAATGTCAGTAGCCCTCTTGCCGGTGACCAGTTTTCTGTACAGAATGATCTGATGGAGAAGAGCGTATAGCATAGGTATCTGGGCATAAGTGAAAACTACGTCATTGGTGACCCGGTCGGACCAACTGATGCCCAGAATACATCTGATACAACGAAGATGAAAGGAACTGAAGCGTCTCTTCTATCTGGAGTAGAGGTTCAAAATGACGACGTGTACTCTATAGACTGCAATTTTGGTGAACATAGTCAACTTTCTAACCTTCCAGTCAAAACGACAGTGAAACAGTGAAGGTTATATTGATTGACCGTCGGATCAACACCAGCATTTTTCTCTGGCTACCAAAATCAAATAAGTACAAGTGTTTAACAGAGGACGGAAAGTGCGACACTGGAATCTGAAGATGCCTTCCAAAAGCTAAGTAAAGTATTAAGAAAATAAAAAATTTCGTTAGAAACAAAGGAATTGTTATGTAATGTCTTGTAAGATCAATCCTTCTACGGGGTTCGATGGGTAAATTTTCGCCATTTTATATTTTTGATTTCGCACATGCGTGTTGTTTGTTTTTGATTTTATCGATGGCTCCGTATAGTAAATTCATTTAGGCAACGTGTGTGAGAAAAAGAGCACCATTACTCAATTCACTCCGCCAGAAATTTGCAAACTACATGCTGTACTGCTTGGCATTCGCGCCGGTAGCTCCAATACGAACCTTTTCCGAATGTGTGGGTGACCGTGCAGAGCGTTGAGAAAGAGTTGGCTAATATAACCAGTCATCATCATAATGTTTACAGATATCACTAGTGATGGCGATGTTATGCCTCCATTCATCTTCCCACGGGAAGACAGACTTAACACGGCGGTCCACATCAAATGCCTTGAGGAGGTAGTGCTGCCATGGATCAGGAGAGTGGCTGCTGGAAGACACTATATCTGGCAACAGGACTCTGCACCATGCCACACAAGCAGGAGAAAATAGTCATACATTCACCGATCGAAACCAAATTTGACAACAGACTACTAAATTGTAACTTGTTTGGCACAGGATGTCTGGTATTAATCCCAAGAATAATGTCTATCCCTAAATCATCGGAATATCCTTTCGAATGGACAAGAATCCAGTTTCCAGTTTGTCCTGCGTTTGGGAGAACTATAAACAAATCAAACGTCCAAACGCTTCAAAAACTTAGAATTTGACTCTAGAAAGAAATATTTACGCATGGCCAGTTGTATATTGGATGCTCAAGAGTAAGAACTCCTAAGAATTTATTCTTCGCTGTTCAAATGGAAAATGGAAAATAAAAATTTTCTTTAAAAATATTATGTTGTAACCTAGGGAAGGTTACTGAATAGAATAATCACACGAGGGTTGATAATGAACGATAATACTTAGGACAAGAACAACACATATAAGATTCGTCAGCGGAGCGTAGAGGAAGTAGTCAAATGCTAGAAGTGAATCAAGTGAATTCCACAGTGTATCGTTCAGTAGATCTACCAACCGTTCCACACGGTCAGATAAGGCACAAGACCGAATTTAATGTGGGGTATCTGAGCCGGTAGGCTCAGCCAAAAATTCTCCGTAGACCCCGTATAAAACGGGGCCGGGAACCTGTTTCCCGAGACGTCACTCTGCCCTTCGATATAGCCTCGTCTATGAATCTTCTCTACCCGGAGGCAGAGAGTTTGACCAGCACAACTGGAGACGAATCTTCAACTGCAGGATAGCTACCAACCGTCCGAAGCGGTCAGATGTGCCACAAGGCCGAATTTAATGTGGGGTATCCGAGTCCGTAGTCTCAGCCAAAAATTCACCATAGACCCCGCATAAAACGACGTCGGGTAGCTGTTTCCAGAAACGAGAGTCTTCCCTTCGACATAGCCTCGTCTGAGGACCCTCACTGTCCGGATGCAGAGACGAATCTGCGACTGCAGACCAACATACAGTATTTACAACTGTATTTATGTGAATGGGGACATACCCATTATCGTCCGTAGATATGCTACAACATATTGTTTACCAGAAAGTCCTATAAAATTAAATTTAATTAATTATTAAGCCGCGAAGTAGGGTTTTTGTCAAAGCAATTTTTCCAAATAAATCAGTATATTCAAATTTTATCGATTGATTTGCAAAATTAAACGAAACGTAGACTTTTTAAATCTCGGCAAAAAATGTTAGCGATAACTTCAACAATACTAAATACTGTGAGGATTTTAACAGATGTCAGCGAGTTGCTAAAAAAATCTAGTATTGTGTTTTTACTCACAAGTCCGGCACTTCGTGTTATACAAGGCTGTGATTTACCCATCTGTCAGGAAAATCATCATCACTTCGCCACGTCTATCACGAAACTGTACAGACTTGGCCTCGGTATCTTGCCGTTAAGGGCCATATATATCTATCTGCATCTATCGATGTATTCGTGTATATATACTATTCCAGCAAAAATTAGGGAATTAGCAAAATTAGACGAGGTCCACCTTAGTTGTCTTTTGTTGTTTTTTTTTTTTTTTTGGTTTTTTAGTTTAGCAGTAAATAAATTCATAAGATATAACACCTAAAACGTCTTTATTTAATAACCGTACAACCTGGTTGCATAAAATATACCTGAAACAAACTAGATTAAATTAAATTATTAAAAAATAAGGGGATAATTTTCTCATTCCATGCAGAGGAACAGATAGATAGATAGATAGATAGATAGATAGATAGATAGATAGATCTATCCTTGTTGCTCTTTCACTCTCCCTCTCACTCTATCTATCTCTCTCTCTCTCAGTACTTGAGAGAAAGAGAAGGACAGATAATAACTGAAATAGATAGATAGATAGATAGATCTATCCTTGTTGCTCTTTCTCTCTCCCTCTCACTCTATCTCTCTCTCTCAGTACTTGAGAGAAAGAGAAGGACAGATAAGAACTGAAATAGATAGATAGATAGATATATCCTTGTTGCTCTTTCTCTCTCCCTCTCACTCTATCTATCTCTCTCTCTCAGTACTTGAGAGAAAGAGAAGGACAGATAAGAACTGAAATAGATAGATAGATCTATCCTTGTTGCTCTTTCTCTCTCCCTCTCACTCTCTCTCTCTCTCTCTCTCAGTACTTGAGAGAATGAGAAGGAAAGATAAGAACTGAGATAGATAGATAGATAGATAGATAGATAGATAGATAGATAGATAAGAACTGTTTATATTTTCGTCCCATCTTTATTTTAGTCTGACGAAGTCCTTTTGAGGGATGAAACGCGTTACCCAAAATTTCTCCCATTTTGCCATTTATTTACCGACCAGAGATAGATATGAAAATAATGGAATAAAACTTGAACTGACTTATATGCTTTACATGTGAATTGGTTCGATGACGACACATAAAATATACAAGCAGACAAGTTTGACGTGGGGGAGGGCGTGCGTCCGTCTTTGTGATTCCATTACGGTTTTCTTTCCATTATCCAGGCTTTATTTCCATGTCTTCTGACCATCAATGCTTATTCACAGTCGCCATCGATAAGAGTCGACATTACAGAATTTACAACGTCTGTCACTCAAAGCGCAACGTCGTCTACATTTCACTCAATATTACGCGCCCTGCCAGTCAACAGCTAAACTTTCTCGGCTACTGCGACTACAGAGACTGGACCGTGAACCCACACAGCTAACCAAATACAAATACAAACAAATTATCATCATTTAATCATATAAGAAAGACAATCCAAAGAAAGGTATGTAATGCAATCAACCCTGATCTGGCAATCTCGATTACAGTCACTTTCTCACAGCCTCTGTCTTTTCTATACATATTCTCATGACAATTGTTCTGATGAGTTTTCCTCTTTGATTGTACATATGGGAACTAGTTTGGACTTCACAGAGACTTTGAGGAATTATGGTGGCTGTCGTAAGAATCTCTATCTATAAAAGACAGGATGTGTGTGCGTGTGTGTGTGTGTGTGTGTGTGTGTAACGAATGCACGGCGGCAATTTTCGACGGATTGCACAAAAATTTACATCCACATGCTCCAAGTTGGTGGGAAGGCCAAGACCGACATTGCATTTCCCAACTCCCATCGATAGTGGAAATAATCGATTTTTGCATGCTTCTACGGCAGTTTTCATGTAGTTTGCGGCCATTTTCTACTGGCCAGAGTGAGAGCCTATAGCTGGCTGCCACGAATAGGCAAGAAGATTCTATCGGCCAGCGCGAGAGCCAACAGCTGACTGACACGAATGTTAACTAGCATGCTAGCATGCAAATAAAAAAATCGTTAGCTGCATTCGTCACAAGTGGGAAAAATTTAAATCTGCATGGCACTTTACTCCAGTTGGCTCATTCGCTTGCTTAAACTCAACGTTGATTCTGATTCTGCAGAACTGGGTTGGGTGTGAAAAAGTATGTGTTGTTAACATTCTTTTTTCATTCGGTTTTTACAGTTACGAGTCCTTTTTTAAAGTTGATTGTTTTGTGTTCATTTTGGGGTTTTTTCGTAACAGATTTAATGTTTAGTATAGAGCTTAGAAAAATATCGCAGTGTGAGATAGGCAAGAAGTAAGGCATGTAGCAACATCAGCACGGCAAAGGGCACTCCTTTAAAGGCAAGGAAGGGCAAAATATTTTAAATCAAGTGATAGCGATTGCTGTATGAGTCGTACGATTTTTGAATCAAGCACGGCCAACGCCGGGTCATGCTGCTAGTTTTAAATAATAATGGTAAGCACGGTGGATAGCGGTTCGGTTTAAGAATCGGGGAGCTGAGTTCGAATTTCAGTCCAATCCATTACATTCATTTACATGCTAATACCTTTGGGAAAGGTATGAATCCTCTTCTTCTCCCCCTCCCCAGCTATGAGTAAATCGCAGGACAGGCCGGGTTCTATAGCCTTGGATTGCAACAGGCAGAAAGAAATGGCAACCTACAGCGGGAAAAAAATCTGCCTCGTCAGTCATGCACCGAAAGATACATGATCGCCTAAGCGTGTATTACGCATGGCACTGTTGTGGCCTTGTTAGGGCCAGAAATAAAGACACAAGAGAGGAACTGAGTTAAATATATTAACAGAAACAATAATATAAACATATACAAACAAGAGTGTTGCAGCAAGAATGTTCGGTCCTACTGTCAGAGGTGACTTTTGTAGACTTTCTCCTCCAAAAGGCAGTACCTGCTCCTATCTATAGCTGGGAGAGTCCTTGCGTGCGTGGATAAATTACCATAACACATAACTGACTGAAGTAAGAATGTGCTGTTTTGGTGTAAGGAATACTGTGGTATGTTTGGGTCAGTAATCGTGGTTAGCTAAGTTTAAGATAATTCGCAGATCTGCCTTTCTCTATCCACGCTCTTGGCCTAGTGCCACATTTTTGCATTTTTCAAAATAAATATCGCTTTTCTCCTTGGTGTTTCGACTACTTAATCTAAAGCTTACTACTAGATTGATAACTAAGTCTCACTGTTTTACTGTTGAACTAGCTAGATGTAACCGTACTTTCTCTTCTAAAAGTTCCTTTTCTCACACTTCTGGCCTGTGGAAATCACTTCCGATTTCTTCCTTCGGTGCCATCTGCAATCTTCAAAAATTCTTTTGTTGTTCTTTTGTTGGCTTTCTCCTCACTAAAGCATTTTCTTTTACTCCCAGTAACCTCTTACGTCTTAGTGGCATTATCGCCTTGCTTAGGAGGGGGGAAGATTCTTTTTTTTGTGTAGTTCCCGTTCAGTGGTCGTATTTTCCTTATTTGCATGTAAAATACCAGTACGCGGTTGCGGTTGGGATATCGTGATCGCCAATATCAAATCAATCCCGGGCTGCTAGTCCGCTCCCCTGATACACACAAGACAATGTAGGCAGAGGAAAACATAGCTTAGCCTATTTAGAGCTTGGGTAAAATGGATAATAGAACACGATGTGTGCGAGTCTATGGTACATATATCTCTGGTATTAAATATAGATGCGTGAAGATCACACATCCTGGAAATAGCGCGGCAAGATAAGGTGCCCAACATTGAGGTCCTGTCTTGAGCAGGTTTGCCTAGCATGTTCACACTGATCAGATAGCGCGGGCTTTGTTGGTTGGGCCACATCCAGCGCATGCCAGTCGCCCGCATCCCCAAAGACCTCCTGTATGGATAACTGGCTGCTGGAAAGACACCCGCTGGGCGGCCATAGCTACGGTACCGCGATGTCATGAAAGCTGTGAACATCAACACAAAATCCTGGGAGGACCTGGCAGAATGGCGCGAAACCCTGGCAGAATGGCGAGAAACCCTGACCAAACACCTCAAGCCAAGGGTGAAAAAGCTGGCACAAGTCTACACGGAAAGGCAAGCCCGTAAAAAGCAAAATGATAGCTTCAAAAGACTAGAGAAATTTTTATCAGAACACATATGCGACCTCTCCAACAGAGATTGTCACTCCGGCATCGGCCTCTACAGTCACAGATTTCGATGCCCCAGCCAAGCAAGCAACTAAGATGCTACCCATGGCCAACCCTAACCGACGGAGGCCTACATGAAGATCAGTTGCTAAATAGATCTTGTATTAAATATAGATGTATGAAGATCAGGTACTAAATACAGATTTCTACGAATAATTAAGCAAGGCCCACCGTCTCTTTGGCAAATTGACGGCGGGCTCTAATCCATTCAGAGGTAAAATAATCGCAAATTAAATAAAAATGAAAAGAAGATTCGAAACTGAATAACACAGCATGGATTGAAATATCGTTAAAACCATTAATTAAACCTAATATTTCTTCATGGAATTCAGAGCTTAATCTATCAGGTTATCTCATAAGTTCTGTCCGAATTTTGAATAAAGAAAACAAGTGACCAAATGTTACATTTAATTACAGATTCAATCAACGGTGTATTTTCCCTGGTAATCTATGACTTCCTTCCATCTATTAACAAACTTATTAATTCCATTACTGTAAAATTCTTTTGGCTTTGATTCGAAGAACTCACAAATGTCAGTTTTAACCTCTTCCTGTGTTACAAAAGCTGTTTCCTCCAAATTATTCTGTAAGCTAGGAAACAAATGGTAGTCTGAAGGAGCAAGATCGGGAGAATAAGGTGGATGAGGAATTTTCTCCCAACCAAGTTCTTCGATCTTTTGTGACGTGATTCTTGCTGTGTGGGGTCGCGCATTGTCCTGATGAAACATCACCCCTTTTCGATTCACTAGAGCAGGTCTTTTTTTTTCTCAAAGCTTGGTCCAAACGCTCTAATTGCTGACAGTATATTTGAGCATTAATTGTTGCATTAGGTGGTAAGAATTCAAAGTGGATTATTCCTTGGCGATCCCACCAGATTGAAAGAAGAACATTTTGCCCATAAAGTTCCCTTCTCGGCTGTGGCTGGGGTCCTTCCCCTTTACCAAGCCACTGTCTACGACGCTTAACATTTCGATGAAAGATCCATTTTTCGTCGCCAGTCACAAGTCTATCCAAAAAAAGGTGAAACAAGTTGGCGAGAATGGAGAGAAGAGAAGATGCCAACTCGGAATTTGAGGTTGTTTTCAAACAATTCATGAGGCACCCATTTTCCAAGTTTAGGAACTTTCCAAGTTGTTGAAGATGACGGTGAACAGTTGTATGGTTTGAACCGAGAACCACTGCCAATTCCTCAACTGATAAAGCAGGATTTTCTTCAAGGGCTGCTTCAAGAAGCTTTTCATCAAACTCAACTGGACGTCCGGTTCGATCTACAATGGTGAAATCTCCACCTCTGAATTTTGCAAACCATCTTCTGCAAGTTCTTTCATTCACACATTCCTCTCCATAAATTGAGTGAATGTTTCTAGCCGCTTCGGCTGCTGAGTTTCCTTTCTTGAACTCATAAAGCATTATGTGCCTCAAATGATTCTTAGGTACTTCCATGTTAGCAGGGTTTTAATAAAACAAAATTTAATTTTATTGTTCTCTGAAATAAAATTTGATCAGTTTAAATGCATCTGAACATAAAAATAATATTCAGCTCCATTAGACATTATAAAATACTCTTTAAATTTCGTTCATTTTGACAAAAAGTTAAACTTTGGACAGAACTTATGGGATGACCTGATACTAACTAAGGTCATAATTTGAGAGAAAAATTTTTAAAAATCATTGCATAATCAGCAACATTTCTCCTGTTATCCAAATCAAAAAGTTTTTCTTTTCCTGCAGATAATAACTTCAGCTAGCAGAACAATGACAGAACAGCCATAAAA